TTTTAGGAACTGAAAAGGAATATTACTTTGGGAAATGGTAACTCTTTCAGGAACTGAAAAGGAATATTACTTTGGGAAATGGTAACTCTTTCAGGAACTGAAAAGGAATATTACTTTGGGAAATGGTAAATCTTTCAGGAAGTGAAAGGGAATATTACCTTGGGAAATGGTAATTCTTTCAGGAACTGAAAAGGAATATTACTTTGGGAAATGGTAACTCTTTCAGGAAGTGAAAAGGAATATTACCTTGGGAAATGGTTACTGATATTTTTCTGATATTTAATGATCACTGGCCAATCTTCAGAATGTAAAAACGTTTTATGTCAGTATTTCTCAACCTTTTTCATCTCATGTCCCACCAACCATTTTCTCAAAAAAATACCTGGTCCCACCATGATAAAACAAAACCCCACATTTTCCATGAGGTGTATTTCTACATTTACATCGAAATTTTCATGAACATTAATAAAAGACATAGCGAGGCAACAGCCTTTTTTCGGAATTCTGAATAATTATTTTCTAAACTTCACGTCCCACTGGTTGAGAAACACTGTTTTACGTAACTTTAAAATTGGATTTGCTTTACTATATAAACTTTTGTGTTCATCGATAGTCAAGCACTATAAAACTATTTGTACACGTACATTTAGAATATTAATTTGAGATAAATCTGTTACTATTTTCTAGTGAATATTCTTATTGTTCAGCATTTTCTTTAACCCACCTCACATTGAAAATCTAAAATCAAATCAGTAGGACTAAGTCTTATGCATGACATGGTAGAAAATCACATTTAAACACAGAAGTAAGTTTACTCATTTTGCCACAAAAATTTACCTGTATGAACATACAGTGTGCACACCTTTTATGATGTGTATAATTATTTTGTTATTTTTCATAATATTCTGTTTTTAGTGAAGTTGTGAAGACTGTATGAGTTAAGTATCTCCTGTTTCTTATAGCTGTCATTGGTCCAGGACATAATTTTAGTGCCAAACATGTAATTCATTGCAACATGCCTCTTTATGGTGGCCAAAACTCCAGTGAACTTTTAGAAAAGTCCATCAAAAACTGCTTAGCTCTGGCTGATGAAAAGAATATTAAGTCCCTTGCAGTCCCTTCAGTTGGGAGTTCCAAGTAAGTTGTTTTGTGAAGTTCCTGGTGACACAACTGTTTGGATAAATTAAAAAACATTTGTTGTTTTGTGAAGTTCCTAGTGACACAACTGTTTGGATAAATTAAGAAACATCAGTTGTTTTGTGAAGTTCCTGGTGACACAACTGTTTGGATAAATTAAAAAACATTTGTTGTTTTGTGAAGTTCCTAGTGACACAACTGTTTGGATAAACTAAAAAACATCAGTTGTTTTGTGAAGTTCCTAGTGACACAACTGTTTGGATAAACTAAAAAACATCAGTTGTTTTGTGAAGTTCCTAGTGACACAACTGTTTGGATAAATTAAAAAACATTTGTTATTTTGTGAAGTTCCTGGTGACACAACTGTTTGGATAAATTAAAAAACATCAGTTGTTTTGTGAAGTTCCTGGTGACACAACTGTTTGGATAAATTAAAAAACATCAGTTGTTTTGTGAAGTTCCTGGTGACACAACTGTTTGGATAAATTAAAAAACATTTGTTATTTTGTGAAGTTCCTAGTGACACAACTGTTTGGATAAATTAAA